AGGCCTTTTGTTCAGGCTGCGAGCCGCAGGGGAAGCTTCTCTCCTTCAGCTCATCTCTTGGTGAACATGACATTCAGGACCCGACCAGAGCGCCACACCTGCAGCAGCATGACCAGCATGCACCTGTGCTGGCGGCAGTGTATAGAGTCACTTCGGTGAAATATATATGAAGTAAATCCCGCACCAAAAACGTAGCTGAGCAATTCACCCCAAAGTCCTGCACAAGTAGATGTCAGAGCGCCGACGGGAGCAGAGCAGAGTCTATAAAAGAGCAACACACTCAAACCGATTAACATGCCGGCACATTCTCTTCTATCCTCCGGGTCCGCGGAGAGAGACGGGAGCATTTAACAGAAACCTCAGAGGCCGCGGAGGCCTTGAGCAGCGACTGTGAAGTGTGGGGGGGGAGATGGGGGGGGGGGGGGGAGGGGAAGGGGGTGGAGTCTGCTGGGCAGCCCGCTGGAATCTGAGAATCTAAAAGCATCTTCGGGGGGGGGGAGAGAAACTTGTTTGGTTTCTTGTTTGAGCCGTGGTGCATAATGTGACAAAGTAGCCAACTTCACTATATGACAAATGCTGATTGAGAACTTGTGTTAAGATGAAATTGTACGTTTCCGCTCCGAATCCACGTTAAACTTTGGTCCGGGATATCGTTAAATAAACCAGTTGAATCCTTCTTAAAAAGGGTCCAAGAGAAAAACCAAGCGCTGACTTCCCCCATGAACGCAGCCATTAGCTCTGGTTTCACAATCACACCCTTGCAACTCTGATTATTCACATTAACAAGGGCCATTGATGACACTCCCGGCTGTGGATGGGCTGGTGTGAGTGGGAAGGATGGAGGCCCTCCACCCTCTTCATCTGGGCCGATTAAACAGCCACAACAGTGAGATCTTTAAAATTATCTCCAGTATTTTATTTATAGCCTGGTGTCTGTACTCAACATAAAATATATCCCCAAACCTTGACTTCCACCTGCCTCATTAATGACACAACGGTCCTTGCACAGACTCCACTGCGCTTTCATTTACACCAACAAAACAAATAGGATGAAAACCAGTTTGAGCTGGTGGGAATGGACCGACGTGAGGGGGGGGGGGGGGGGGCAAAACTTCACCGCGACGAAGGGAGGGACGAGCCAGCGGCTGGTGTCGAAGCTGGTAAACGGTGTAGAAACAGCCGGTGCTTCAGTTGTTTCTACGCAATCAGGAGCACGGCTCATGTTGAAAGATGACACCGGGCACACAGAGGAAGGCAGTCAAACACGTGGGTACGCACTCCCACACGCACACGCACACGCCAGGCACCGAGGCGTCTGGAGGGAGGGGAGGGGGGGCGTCTCCATCAGCCTGCTCCACCTACCCAGAGGACCCAATCAGTCCGTGAATACACATAAAAGGAGGCTGCCGTCTGCCTCTCCCCGCCGCTGCATCCATTCGCCACGTCATACTCCCCTTATTTTATTTTGTTTTCATCTGCAGCCCAACGTCTGACGCCGGCGGCTCTTTGCTCTACGGACGGCCTGGACGGACAGACCGAGCGTCCCCGGGTCGCTCAACAGGAATCTTCGGCATGCCGTAATAACTTAGTAATAACCACTGAGAGTCTTTACCGCTCATTTGTTCTTGACTGCGTGGACGAGAAGACATTTGACCTTCAAGCGCGTCCCCGGCTTAAAGGGAGGAGATTATTTCTCTTTTTATATTTGTCCAGCTTGGTGTGAACCAACGAGACCCACGTGCACGTTCGCAGCAACACAACGATTTCATTTCTGAGACGACGACATGGTTGATGCAGTACTTTCTGTGGGGTTCCTCTGAGGACGCGGGAGATGAGGGTTTTTCTGTTTGTTTTTGTAGATTTATTACCGTTTGTTTGCCATGTTGGCACTTTAAAACTTGGGCGCAGCCACACGGTGCAGAGTGAGTGTGTGTGTATGTGTGTGTGTGTGTGTGCGTGTGTGTGTGTGCGTGTGTGTGAGAGAGGGAGCAGTAGTGGGATGAAAGGGCAATAAAAGACTAAATATAGGGCCGAGAGAGATGGAGAAGAAGGGAAGGGAAAAGAAAGGCAGTTTTATAGTTTGCCCTTTTCTCGGTACCAATCCGTGTGTGTGTGTGTGTGTGTGTGTGTGTGTGTGTTTTAATCTGTGTGCGCTTGGTGAACTGACACAAGGTGTCCCGGACTGAGAGCATGAAAGGACGGATAAGAGCAACAGTAAAAGGTCGCTTCCCTGCACGGAAACCTTGGGCCGACTGCACGAAGGGCCGAGGCGCCATTTGCTCGCGTGATGCCCATGAAGACCGAAACCAACGGACGTTACGCGTTTTCACCCCAACCGAGCGTCCGTGCCCATCTTCACCGGGTTCACCGTTCGAACCGCGATACCGACGCAATTATCCCTTTTCCGCGCTTTCGAGCCGCCGTGTCCTTTAGGGCGTGGGGCCGCGAAGCCCCCCCCCCCGCTGCCAACACAGACACACACACACAAAACAGATCAAAACACATCCAAAAAAAGGGATTAAAGAAAGTGCCGACACGCTTGAATCCTTCAAAGGGCGTCCGACTCCATCAAAGGACGAGCGCGCTTAAATACGAGGCGACACCCGCGAAGCGTCGGCCTTTACGTTTCTACTCCCCCCCCCCGGTGAAACCCGATATCAAGAAGCACGGCGATAAGTGGCAGGCGGGTTATCTGCGAGTGCCGCGGTCGCCTACGAGCAAGAGAGCGGGAAACGGGGGAGCGCCGCGGAAACGGAGGGAAAGGCCGAAAACCCCCCAAAAAAGGTGACGCGTGTCTGAGCAGAGGACTCGTGTGCACAGGAAACCGACCGGAGGGGAAGACGGAGCTAAACTCACCTTAAGCAATTCTTAGGGAGGAGCAGTTCAAAGCGTGCCTGGAGGGGGGGGGGACTCCTACTGAATACATAGGATGGGCCACAGCCCCCCCCGTCTCTTTCTTCTGAGTTCCACGCGGGATGAAACACACGCAGGCCGACTGGACGCCGGCGCGAGAGCTGAGAGACACTTCAAGGCTGAGCAGTGTGCAGAATAATGAGTGTCCCAACAGCCAGAAGGCCTTGTTCTGGTAACGGTTGTTACATACTGGGTGTGTATTTCACCACCAGTGCATCAAATCGGCCCATGTGTGGAGTTGTTGGCTTTCGTTGGGGGGGGGGGGGGGGTTGCTTCCCCGCCGAGTGAGCGAAGGGAACCCGCACGTCGGGAAGCAGAGATCTTTGTATTTTTTTTTTTTTTGCATCAAAATCCAATTGCGCTTTTCTTCCTTTAAAACAAAACACAGCGCGTGCTTACACGAGCCGGCGGCAGCCGAATGCACCCGTCAATCACCCTGCTGCTTTTTCGGCGACGTGTGCAAACACACGCCTGCCGCTTTGTCGCTCTGAGCTCCTAACGGCACGCGACGCCGAAAAGGAGCGAGAGCCCGGCGATGTGAACGGGCGAAGGTGAAGAACACGCCCGCTTGAGATCAATCTCAGACCCCCGCCCCCCCCCCCCCCCAACCCCACCGCCGCGCTAGCCGACCGTGACTCGCTCCGTCATTACATCCGAGAGGTCGCGCCCACTCCGCCCCCGCGCCCGCCACCGTTCCCGGGCCTGATGGCGGCCTAATGGCCTGCTCGCTCTACACCGCAATTAACCTTTTTATTGGCCACCTGCCCGCCAGACGGAGACGCATCAGTGTGTGCGTGTGTGTGTGTGTGTGTTTGTGTGATTAGAACCATAAATGCGAAAGCGTTAATGTGTTCCAACACAACGGCTGCAGCTTTTATGTCGATTGACTTCCATGCGCCCGGATTTCAACCCGCCCCCCTTCTCCGGGGAGAAATTGATTGAATCTGACCTGATCCCACCGCGGTTGACCCGGGGGCGGGTCCCGGCGGCGGTGACGTTGGCCGAGGCACGAAACGAAAAGTGTCGCCGGCATCGCGCATCGAGGGACGGCCCGCTATCCTGGACGCCGCTATTGGGACGAGAGGTCGCACCTGCAGCAGTGGCTCCAAACGTCCAACTCCGGGGGGCTTAAGGATGTAGAATGTTCCCTCTGTAAAGAATCTGAACATAGATTTCTATACATGTATAAAGAAACGGAATCACGGCCACATCCGAGAGGCTTGTACCGTCCCGTTGTCCTCTCACCAGCGACTTCAAATCTGGCTGAGCAGTAAGCACACGCACACACACACACACACACGCACACACACACACACACACACACACACACTCGCCAAATTCAATTTCAGGGCACGGCTCGACTCGAAACACCTAATAATCCCACGTCACCGGCTGTTCCCAAAGCTGAACAAGGTCACATTGTGCAACTAGAAAGAAAAAAAAAAAAAAAAAAAGAGCCTTTTCACAAGCGTCCATCCGGTCGAGCGACGCGTTCAGGCTCCATCTAGCGAGGTGAAGGGTTTTTCACGGTAGAGAAACAACAAGTCGCTGAGCGGTTGGGAGGATGAAAAGAAGCCGTTCACCTCGCGCGCGGCGAGGCAGCGGACATGTGAAAGAAGCGCTCGGAGAAGAGAAGTCTTTTCAATGGCGTTATGTTCACACACTCGCCGGGTTTCCTCTTCCGTTTAGCTTCCGTAAACTAATTCAGGAGGAGGAAGAAGCAAAAAGAACAACCTCAAGCGGTGAAAAAACAGTTTGAAAAGCCTGGTTGAGAACGTGAACACGGTTCCATTAGCTCTCTGAGGAGCGACGGGCAGATGCTTCCTCTAATTCTAGCGCTTTTATCGAAACATCGAACCTTCCTATTTTATACGCAAATCATTAAAAATCAGAGATAAAAATATGTTAAAGATTTAAAGAGGTGCTGTGTTCTTTATGAGGTATTTGTCTTATATCCATTACTTATTGTGGTTCATACAGTCCAGTACAGACGAAGGTCCCTGGCCTGTACACGCGCGTTTGTCCTGCACACATTCAACACTCGTCCCTTTACCCTTTACCCAGGATGCAGCGGGGCCGGCGCTTACCTGCTACGGCGAGGCGGGCCGTGCGGCTGGAAATGGAGCCGATGTTGTCGATGGTGGCGACGCACTGGTAGGTGCCCTCGTCCGGCTTGTTGTGCTTGGAGTGGACCACGTGGGCGAAGAACAGCGAGCCGTCGGGCAGCACGCTCCGCCGCTCGTCCGACACCAGGCTCATGAAGGTGCCGTCCTTCTTCCACTCGACGCGCACCGCCGGCGCCGCCGGGTCGCTGTGGGTCGAGCAGTTGAGCAGCGCCGAGTTGCCCCGGATGGCCAGCGTGTCCTCGGGCTCCACCGTGAACCAGAAGGGGGTGAAGGGCTGCGCCGCTGAACCTGGGGGAAGGGGGAGAGGGGGGGGAGAGGGGCACAGAGATATCAGACCGATTCCTCCACACAAGCAACTCGGGCCTGAGCCTCAAAAGAGCAACAAGTCAAATCTTTGAACCGCTTTCAAATATTGCATTTATTGTTTGGCAGAGGACACGGGAGAGGATTCTAAAAGGCCAACCGTCAATTACTGAAGCTCCACTTTCCCTTCAACCGCAAGACCACATCTGCTGGCTTAATGCCACAATTTAAAACCCATCCACGCAAAATGTGCTGGTGGCTGAAATGAAAGGACACTGCAGAACTCAGAGCGACCCGGACACTCGATGAAACGCTCCTGGGGGGGCCGAAGCCTCCTCTTTACATTCATAGTCGGAGGCTTTTCATCCCGAATAACCACGAGTCCCGCTGGAACCGGGAGGAACCGACACATTGAACCCGGTCCGGCCGCCCCGGCAGGTGAAGATCACGTCTCGCAGCGGAGGAGTAAAAACGCTTTTGGAGCGCGCCCGTCATTTCCTTCCCCGGGCTGAGACGTGCGCATCGCTGCGACGCGGAGAGCGCCCAGAGTCAGAGTAGGTGCAGTCGCTTTGCATTTGTCCTCATCCATTATTCAAGTCCCCCCCCCAAGAAGAGTCACACCATCGTATTGTTTAGATAAATAACACCAATTACCAGTTCTGCAGGGATCAGTGAGCGAGGAGAAATAATTAAGAGGGTACGAAGGTGTTTTAATAATGCAGCGAATGGACTGAAATAAGTGTCGAAATGGTAAATGTAGTTTAAAATATGCCTGGGAAATAGCACATCTCCTGTGGGGGGGGGTCAGGGGGGAGGCAGAAAGAGAGGGAGACGGAAAAGAGAGACGCTGTGTCAATGGTTCAGCCATTTAAACTACTAGGAGGTAATTCCTCCGCCTCGCGGCGCAGAGTCCCCGGTGTGAGATCCAAAGGCCGACGCGGTGTGATGCGCGGTCCATTACCGTGGCAACGCGGCTGCTTGTCCTCACACACTTAGTGCTCTCGAAAGCGCAAACAATTACAGCAAAAACGCTGCAGAAAAATAACTGGTATTTTTCACTCTGACACGATCGGGGTAAGACAACGAAGCAACATCCATGCCGTGCACTAATTTGCTGATGGATATCAGTAGAATGGGGAAGTAGTGACCTTATTTTGCCTCAGTGGACAACAATGGACCTTACTGACCAATCAAGGATGCGAAGGATGGGAATAGGAACATTTAGAAACCTCATCTCGTAGCTTCCACCTCACAGAAAACCCTCGTTTGGAGTCTTCAGTCCCCTTTTTTTTGACCCAGGTCAATCGGCCATGTTTTAATGTGCAGCTACAGACGCCGGTGAAGCAACATTACAAGACATCAAACGCCTTTAGACAGCACCGGCGCTCACACACTCCACATTCCCCTTGTAGAATCCCTTCCGGCGGCAGTCGATGTGAGCAAACAGCAGTAAGAAATTCGGCTGCGCCGCCTCCTGCGCCAGCACCACACAGTCTCCGAGCAGTAAGCCAGCGCTTTGACACCCGACTGAAGTGAGCAGCTGATTTCAGGGGGGAGGGATGGGGGGGGGGGTTCGATAACTCGAGAGCGACCCGGTGCACATTATGGGCAGAAAATGTGTTTTACTGATGGTGCGCGTGACAGATGGAGAGAGACCCGAGCGGAGTGTTGGCGGCGGGGGGGGAGGGGGGCGGCGATTCGTCGCTCCTGCAGACCCGGAGGACGTTCCCTGCTGAACAGTGGGGCCTGCGGGTCGGTACAGAGCTTCAGACTGAAGTCTGGCTGCCGTCCAGTCAAAAGACCATCTTCAGCTGCTATCCGAGGAGAAAAAGCCCATGGGCCGGGGTGCTGTGGCATCCTATCGGCGCCAGAACCCCCCCACCCCCCCTTATCATCTTTTTCTAAAGCCCATCGGAGGCCGTCAAACCTCCAGGAAGGCAAACAACAAAGCTCCCGTAGTGACCGAAGTCCAAAGCCAAAGGGCACCGGAAGGTGTAGTGGCGGAGCCGCCGGACACACCGCCCCAAGACTAAACAAATATTTTGACGATAGGCTGCAAAAAAAAAAAAGCTTTTTTATTCCAAATATTTTGTACCTCCGTTCTTTGTGTTTCGGTGACTGTTGAGAACTAGAAATGCACATTGGACTCAGCCATGAAGCTTATCCTGGTTCAACAAAAAGGCTCATCTGATTGATGTCAAAGTCAGTGTTTAAAAAGAAGGTGTAACGTAAGAGCGCGCCTGCCAAACTATTCTAAATCAAACGGATTTATTTCATCTCTTGAAGCCCACATATTAATTCTTCTGAACCCCCGAGGCTGGAAAATCATTTCTGTGATCAATACTAAAAAGGAAACCGTCTAAATGAGCCGGGCAGGGCCAACACCTCGGGCCCCAGTGGGGGGTCCAAGGATCTGAACTCATTTGAAGAAGACGCACAAACAAAAGCACGTCACCTTCACAGACTTCAGAAGCCTTCAACTTTCAGGCCGAAGCCAACGAAAAGTTTACTTTTGACAAATAACGAGGTTGCGAGCAAAAAAAAAAAAAGTTCCCCCTCCAGAACGAGACGTGGATTGAAGCCTTGATTGAAAGAACTCAACGCAACGCGCGTTCCTGTAAGCCATTAAAGTGAAAATATGGAACTAAACCATGCAGCTTCTTACAATCGCACCGGGGGGGGAGACAGAACACACACACACACACACACACACACGCACACACACACACACACCTTTATGAGCGGATTTAGTTGCACTGAAACACTGCGAGCTTCTAACAACACAGCTGCAGAGTTAAAGAAGGAAGGCGGTGTCAAAGAAATCGTTACAGCGCTGCACGTCTCATCCACCCCCTCGTTTGTCTTTGAGAAGCAGGATCCACCACACGAGGACGAGGGAGAGAGGGGGAGAGAGAGAGGAGGGGGGGGGGGGGGAGAATGAGGCTGTTACTTGATAAGTGTGGGCTGTTACCTCTGTCGAGAAATCCACTTTGCTCAGCAGTCATAAAAGGTTTTGGGAGGCCGGTTTAAGGTGGTCTCTCCATCTCCCTCCCTCCCTCCCTCCCTCCCCCACCTCGCAGCGTCCTCCTCGCTTTCACAGGCGAGAGGCGGAGTGGAGACCTGGAGTTTGTGCCGTGTTTCCCCTCCATGAGCCGCCGGCTCGCTGGCAGCTCTGGCTCAGCGCCGGTGTTTTTTTGGATGTTACACGGCTCCCTGTCAAGGTGGTGGTGGGGGGGGGGACTCCGGTAACGTGTTCACAGAATGCTTGTCAGGACATTTTGGCAGGGGGGGGGGGGCTGGTAAGTAACCTGAACAGAAGCTGGATAACTCACTCCCGTGTGCATTCTGTGACGTGTTGCACAAGGTGAGGAGGGGGGAGGGGGGAGGTGGGAGGGGGGGGGGGGGGGGGGGAGGGGGTCTGCGTCCCACACAAAGACCTCCTGTTCTCCTCTATTCCGTGCGCCGCTGGGCAGGAAGCCCCCCTCCCTCATTGACCCGCCGCCTTATCGACTGCCCTCCCCATTGGGGCTGACTGTGGCAGGTCCGACAGAGGCCTTCTGTGGCCCGGAGAGGGAAAAGCTTACCGGGTGGAGCTAAATGGTCCTATTTCTACTTGACTTCATGTCGCAATACACTGCGCGCACTCTTTGCTCCGTGTTGCCGCTGCAAAGAGTAGAAAATCTTTAACGGCAGCGCCTCACAGATGAAGGGAGAGTTTCCAAGCGACGCGGAGGCAGGCGTGGGATGGCGTTTTTTTGTAACGAGCCCATCCAAGCCGCCGCTCGCCGCTTGTGTTATTTCCATCCTTCCTTCTGTTTGTCCTTCTCCCCTGGGCGTCAGGGTCGCTTTAATAATGTTAATGAAAATGGTTGTTTCCGAGCTCCCTCTCCCCCCCCCCCCCCCTCCCCTCTTCTCCTTCATCTTAATGCGTCGACGCCGTGTCTGTTTCGCCCGCAGAATCCTTCATCCTCCCGTCTCTCCGAACCCTCGTCTAAAGCCCACCTGTCAGCGAGGAACACCTCGGGGAAATAACAATGATCTCGAGATCAGGTGTTGGGAGACTGGGTGTCTCTGATGGATCGGCAGCTAACTTTCTACATGTGAGGTATACCTTTTTAAGGTGGGGGGGGGGATGAAAAATGGGCGGTGACAGAGGTCTCCTCAAGGGTTCTACGGCGAGCTTCCTTCCCCTCATTTTGTTAAGAGTTTGGGCACTTGACTTGCAATAAGTCAGAGAGGTGAGAACCTGAGTGGAGGACACCCATTCCATTACCGGGTAATGGAAAACAAATGAGAAGAGGGCACATTCATTAAGATCGGCGAGTGCTTTCAATGCTGCGGGAAGACGTTCACGCCATGAAACCGCTTCTGAGAAATGACACGATAGCCGGACTGGAAAGTGGAGGTCGGATCGGTTTCAGATTGGTAGCAGAACATAGTCGGGATAGCCGCCGATTCGGGGTGTTCTCAACGTCCCCCCACCGCCAATTGTGAGATGAGGGATTGAGGCCAAGCCAGAAAGGGGATGGGCAACATGATCGGGCCGGCTAGCGCACACTGGCTGCCCCGCGCTGGCTCCCGCTCAACTGGCAGATTAAAAAAAAAAAAGAGACGACGATCCAAATTTTTTTATTTTTTTTCTCCAGCTCAGGGTTCCCTGTCATCCTCTCTGCCCGCTGCCATTGTAAAAAAAAACTCTGGGAGGCCCCGGAGGAAAAAACACGGCCCGGCCGCCGGGGCCATGGCCATCGGCTTCACTGAATACCGCCAGAAAACGTCATTTCAAGACAAATGTCCCGTCTCTCTTTAATCAGATGAAGAAAAGGATCCCACTCGAATGATTTGCCGGTTAATTGGATTAGCGAATTCTTTAAGTGCATGAGCCCCGGGGGAAAAATAAAAATAAAATAAAATTTCAACATGCATTTGTTTTCATCGTGGCTCTTTGAGAGGACACTGTTACTACGTGGTAATTGTGCCACGCG